TCGTGGTAGACCGTAATTAGACTTTTAATGAAGGTTCTTAGGAATTTTTTGTTAAAGTCAAACTTTCTACGAATTATGAACGCGCGTTAGGTCCATTGATCCGAAAAGGTGAACGAAGCAAAATACGTTTTACACCTTCCTTGTAATCACACATGAGTTTACCGAATGTCTGAGTCGTTGCAATTATTCGCACGTAAATTGTTCGAGAAATCAAATTGGAATGCGTCAAGCACATTCGACTAAACGATCTTATCGCGGCTAGCTGTCAAGAGATTCGTTTACCGCGTCATTAAGAATTTCTAATTGAAATCGTGAGAATCAATAGCTGTTCTCGTCACGTTGCGAGCCAAATCGAAGCAAAAACGCCGAGCTGAGTTAAAGTGTCGATGTACGTGCTCGAGTGTTGCAGCCAATGTGTGCTTTTCGCGTTGTGTAAAGGTGGTGTTTTTCCTTTTGAAATGAAATTGAATTCTCTCTTCATTTTTAGCTATCATTTCTCTATGATGATCCATTCCTATTGTTAAAGTCTCATATATTTTTTGAAGCTATAAATAATTATATAATTTTTTGCAGTCTTTTTACTTCAGATTTGCATAACATATTATGTATTTTACAGCTTTTATTTAAATAGTCAAATATTATCAAAAATAAATATATGTGTGTGTGTATGTGTAAGATTCGCAATTATAATAGATCAATTTTATTAACATAATACAACTTTTTTTTTATGCAAAGGGAATCGGATAATTCTAAAATAGCGAGAAATGTAAATTGCGAAAATGTCAATTCATATAAAATCAAAGAAATTATGTCAGAGATAAGACTATTTCGTGCGTAGTCGAATCACCATGTTTCTCGACTTCTAAACTTCTTTATCGCGTATAAGAGCGTGGAAAAATATATCCGGGATCTTTTCCTTCGCGTTCTGTTTACTTAAAATCATGTTGATCATCCTCCCTTATTTACCTCGCTATTCATATTACATCGAGCGTATCATTGGTAGTGTTTCAAAACGAGAAGTAAAATTGCGGCGTTTATTCGTGAGATATTTTTTCCAAGTACGGAGAACACCTCGTTTCAATAAAATGACGACTCCTTTTTGTTATTAAATGCTTGTCCCCTACCACGACAAATCGTTTTTTGTTTTTTTCTTTGAGAGTTATTTCCAGCGTCCAGATTAAACGTAAAATTCTGCACAATATTTTACCCGAGCTCAGAGGCAGAGGCGGCCTCCCTCGATACATTCTTCCCGACCAATATTTTATTTCCCCGCGACGAAAATGAAACGGTCCCTCTCTGATGCGGTTTTTCCCGCATATAAATTAGTGTCCACAAAATTCCAGCAGCATAGAAATATTTATTAAGCCTTGACTCATCGTAATATTCTGGTAGCGTTTAGGCTACTGAAATTGGGTCAACTGTAACCTCAGCTTACAAAGGGCTTGTTGAAAACATTTTTTTGTAGAACACGTTTAACATGTATTTAAGAAAATGTATGTAATAATTACTTTGTAAAAATGTTTATTATAAAAATTTTCAAACATATATATAATGATATATTATTAAAATAAGATAATGAAAAAACATATATTTATTTATTAAGATCCGTTTGATAAAACTGTTTATAATAGAAATTATTATTTAATTTTATCTTGAGTTGTGCCAAAGTTTGAAATCAAACAAAATAACTGTGTGTATAATGTGCAATCGACTGGTTGCTTAGTTTTCTTCAATATTTTTTTTTTTTGAGTATTATAAAACTAAAACAATTCAATTTGGAAAATGGATATATTGTTTGTCTCTCTCTAGAAAAGATAATTACGAAAAGGTCATATATAAAAAAACATACAGAATATATGATGTTGATTTTTTCAAATTTTGTGCTTGCAAATGTTTATATATATATATATATATATTGTTTTTGAACACGCGGCTAGCTGTCAAGAGATTCGTTTACCGCGTCATTAAGAATTTCTAATTGAAATCGTGAGAATCAATAGCTGTTCTCGTCACGTTGCGAGCCAAATCGAAGCAAAAACGCCGAGCTGAGTTAAAGTGTCGATGTACGTGCTCGAGTGTTGCAGCCAATGTGTGCTTTTCGCGTTGTGTAAAGGTGGTGTTTTTCCTTTTAAAATGAAATTGAATTCTCTCTTCATTTTTAGCTATCATTTTTCTATGATGATCCATTCCTATTGTTAAAGTCTCATATATTTTTTGAAGCTGTAAATAATTATATAATTTTTTGCACAGTCTTTACTTCATGGATTTGCATAACATATTATGTATTTTACAGCTTTTATTTAAATAGTCAAATATTATCAAAAATAAATATATGTGTGTGTGTATGTGTAAGATTCGCAATTATAATAGATCAATTTTATTAACATAATACAACTTTTTTTTTATGCAAAGGGAATCGGATAATTCTAAAATAGCGAGAAATGTAAATTGCGAAAATGTCAATTCATATAAAATCAAAGAAATTATGTCAGAGATAAGACTATTTCGTGCGTAGTCGAATCACCATGTTTCTCGACTTCTAAACTTCTTTATCGCGTATAAGAGCGTGGAAAAATATATCCGGGATCTTTTCCTTCGCGTTCTGTTTACTTAAAATCATGTTGATCATCCTCCCTTATTTACCTCGCTATTCATATTACATCGAGCGTATCATTGGTAGTGTTTCAAAACGAGAAGTAAAATTGCGGCGTTTATTCGTGAGATATTTTTTCCAAGTACGGAGAACACCTCGTTTCAATAAAATGACGACTCCTTTTTGTTATTAAATGCTTGTCCCCTACCACGACAAATCGTTTTTTGTTTTTTTCTTTGAGAGTTATTTCCAGCGTCCAGATTAAACGTAAAATTCTGCACAATATTTTACCCGAGCTCAGAGGCAGAGGCGGCCTCCCTCGATACATTCTTCCCGACCAATATTTTATTTCCCCGCGACGAAAATGAAACGGTCCCTCTCTGATGCGGTTTTTCCCGCATATAAATTAGTGTCCACAAAATTCCAGCAGCATAGAAATATTTATTAAGCCTTGACTCATCGTAATATTCTGGTAGCGTTTAGGCTACTGAAATTGGGTCAACTGTAACCTCAGCTTACAAAGGGCTTGTTGAAAACATTTTTTTGTAGAACACGTTTAACATGTATTTAAGAAAATGTATGTAATAATTACTTTGTAAAAATGTTTATTATAAAAATTTTCAAACATATATATAATGATATATTATTAAAATAAGATAATGAAAAAACATATATTTATTTATTAAGATCCGTTTGATAAAACTGTTTATAATAGAAATTATTATTTAATTTTATCTTGAGTTGTGCCAAAGTTTGAAATCAAACAAAATAACTGTGTGTATAATGTGCAATCGACTGGTTGCTTAGTTTAGCTGGATAATCAATTTTGTTTACGGCGCAACTGCTCAGAAATGGAAATTAGGGAAGTAACCTTCGCTCAAGGCATCCTTCTATCCATTCGCGCGAAGTGAATTTTCTCATTGAAGGAGCAGAAGTAAATTGATGCAAGCGGCGCAATCGAGATATAAGACCTTGAAGTGGATTACAGGATATCTCGCGCACGGCTACAACGATTGCCATATGTCGAAACGTGAAGCAATCGAGATAGGGAACACTACGCGGAAAAGCAATGACTTTCAAAGTAGAATTGAGAAAATTTTGCACGTTTATGTGAGTGTTTTTTCGAGAAAATCGCGAAATTTTTCACTCGTTCGCGCTCCGCACATTCTGCCAAATATATTTTCATACCAAATATTTAATACGTAATACACGGCGTCCCAGTTTTCTTTTACCCACAGATGCTTTGAAGTAGATTTTTTTCTCGAAAATTTTAGATTGCATTTTGCTACAAATTTTTTATATTTAACTTTGAATATTTTTATATATTCCAACTGACTACACAAAAACTTATAATACAATACTACGAGAGAATCTATAAGACATCATTCATTTTTTGATTAAATTGAACTAATGCGACTTATAGGTTTTTAATTAAACATTTATAAAATTTAAATCTCGATTCTTACGCTAATAATATTACCATTGGTAGCCAGATGCATTTAAGGATAAAAACAGTTTGTAAGCGCAGTTAAGACCAGGCGGTTAAAACGGAAGAAATCGCAAGTGGATTTTAGATGATCATAATTCCCGGGGAACTACTGTTTTATTACACCGGTGCGTTTTATTAAATCGCAGCATAATTTGTCTTTGTAAATTTTTTTTTCTTCTTTTTAGTAAGCCTCGACATCAGAAATAATATTCGCATTTTACACATAAGATAACTATGGTATAGATAATCTAAAATAAAAAACATGCAAAATTGAAGAAAATTGAATATTTGAGTAACCTCTTTAAAGTTTTAATCGCGTTCTTGGAACAAAAATTTAAAACTAATTTGAGGAACGAAAATTTAAAATCATAGTAAAAAATACAAACTCAAAGTGTAAATACAAACTCAAACAAAAAAGTTAAGAAGTTCCAACATTTCTGCAAAAAAATCAGCTTTATGTATCAAAAATAAAAATTGCTATTGAATTTTGTCGGCACTCACCGATACGGTGTTATAATGCGCACAGAATGTTGATTTATAAAATATAAATCTATAAAACTTTTAAAGCAATATTTTAGATAATTAATGTTTCAAAGAATAATTCTTGCGTACAACTAAATATTTCATTCGACTTTTAAACATTTAAGACATTTAATAAAATATTTAATAAAAAATCATGTATATAATATTTGGACAAAAAAATTTTTTTTTTAAATATAAATTTTTCTAGCATATTGTAGAGTATATTTAAAAAAAATTTAGTATATTTTACGTTTATATTATTATACAATGATATAAAATAAATTATTCTAGATTGGCAAAGATACACAAGAGCAATCAATATCATAAATAATATGATACATATTACATAAAATTGCCAAATTATAAATTAAATAAGTTATAAATTGCTTATCTGACAGTTGCTTTATCGTCGCGCGATGTTTCTCCGGACTTCCTTCTCCTTTTCTCTTTGTGTGCTTGTTCATCCTTTGCTGCTCTTTAGTAACAACAACACTCATGAACAAACATTTAATTACGCGTGCACTAATTAATAAAATACGACGATAACGCGGCACTTTACACAGCACTTCTGACATTAATTACACATTTTGTAATCGCATTTCTCTTCCTCTCAAAGGATAGTGAGATGATACCTGAAACGCGCTGTTCGAGTTTTGCTGTGTGAATGACAATAAGACGGCCACGTGTAAATAACAATTGATTCGTTCCCACGACAAAACATTTAATATACACTATAAATAAAATATGTGGAAAATATTTTATTTCTTAAATTTTATATTAGTTATTAATAATTTTTCGTTTCTTGAATAAACAGATTCTATGATTTGTCATTTATTACGCGTTATTAATCCGACAATTATATGGACGAATAACATAAATCAAAGCCAAAAAGTCAAAGCGCGTTAAAGTACATTCGAATCTAGGTATTGTTAAAGAAGTAATTATTCTAAATATCACAATGAGATAATAATTTATAATCCTTATCTCCTATCATTTTGATTCCTAAATATATAAATTACGCGAAATATCTTTGATAAATATCGTCACCTTGGTACGCTTACGAATCGTTAATCGCAAGAATTAATTAATTGCGCGAACCGATAATCGTTTATTGGTGATATTCATATGGAATGAACCGTGTTTGGCATCTTGCGGTATTTCTCACGAATGCGTTTCTTTCGAAAAATAATATAAGGCATACGGTTGCTATCTTTCATAATTATTTACTTTCTATAATACAGTCTATAATCGAAAGTGCTCACGACGTATAGCATACTGTACATTAACGCGACTCGTGATAGTACTCTCGCGGTATCAGAGTAAGACTGCCGATATTATTTTCGAATTTCTTAATCATTAGCAGAACGAATACGGAATAGATCAATTCCGAACCGGGTGACGTTACAAGTTACAATGTGGGGAAAATAACAACGCGTCCTTGTTTATATACTTTGTTTATATACTAGGTATGTCAGTGCGGCATAGTGGGGAGCATTCCACTACGACGGACGGTATTTGGAAAGGGAAAGAATGTATCTCTGGAGGGGGAAAGAGAGATCTACGCGCAGAGAGACACAAAACAATTGTTATTATTCTATCAACGTTTGTTCATGAAGTCGACATGTATTACACGTCGTTATCAATAAAATTCTATCTCGGCGATCTTCTCGATAGCGGTTCCATCCAGTCTTTTCGTACGAGGCTAGTTTTTCTCACAGACGCGTTTAATTAATAAGAGCAAATTAATATTTAATATTTGTTGATTATAAATATTCAACGCATATCGGTGATTTGTTAAAACCTATACTACGTAATTTATACGCGATGTGCTTCTTGCCATTCCAATGGCGACTTTGTCATTCAAGTAGCGAGACTCGTGCGAGAAGGAAACGGTGCGACTCTCTATGTTACTATATCTCGTAATATGATCGCGAGAAGTACCGAAAGAGAGACATGAATTTCCCTTTATTAACGATTATCAGCTTGTACGATTGACCATAAATCTTGTGATATACGACTCGTAAAACTATCGTGGCGACACAGTTATTTATCGAAGCAGTATCACCCGATTAAAATAGAAATTGAAGCAACAGAGAATAGCAATTATGTAAATTACTGTTTTATTTCGATATATTTTTAAAGTGATAATTATTTCTTTAATGTCGGAATTTAAATATATCTCGCGTCGCGCTTTGAAAATTTATTGCTTATTTAAATATAATTTGCATACCATTTTCGGATGAAAAGCGCGAAGTGTTTGTAATACACATATCGTCGATTTCAACGTGATATAGCAGAAATATACACGTACATATACTCGGCGTATATTTATTTTATAGTAAAATAATTCTAACATATGAAATATTTTTCTTTCGTGACGTATACGGCAATGAATTGGCCTAGCATACCTCGTTCGATGTTTATGTTTTGCGTAGCGAACTTTGTTTACATACGTGGTATTGTTATGATTCGCGCAGCGAGACTCGAACGAGAACATTTTAAGCGAGAGAAAGCCGTGATATAACAATCGTGTCCTAATTGATTCCGTTTTATTATTAATTATTAATAATTAATATTTATTTCGCGGTAAGTAGCGTGTGACTTTGGTCGCGCAATTTCCGAAAAGCGAATCATAGCTTTGTGCAAGTTTTTGTTTTATTCTCCTATCGTAATATAGCGAAATTTGCGTGTAATCTCGATTCTATTGATTAGTCCGCGTGCGATTAATTAACTGTGATTTCGCGAATGAGTCTTCTGTGAGTGCCGTGAAGCAGCAGCAAAAGTTGATCAAGAGAGGAAGCCTGGCAAAACGTTGAACGACGTTGGAGCATCCATGGAGTGAGTAACTTGTAACTTATTTAATTTATTATTTGTATATTAATTGCTGTAATTGATTGCTCTTATTTATCTTCATTGATCTATTTTTATATCTTTGTGCTTTATAATGCACGTAAAAATATTCTAGACTTCACTTTAAATTCACTTAAAATATTTAATATATTTTAAAAAATAGTTACAATAATTAATATTTTTTAGATAGATACGTATAAAGTATTTTGCAGCATTGCACATATACACAAGCAAAACTTAAGAAAGAATTTTACTTGTGCGGATATAACTAAGAAAATGGCAAGAAATATATCATAACTTAGTTTGGTTTTAATATTAAAAATGTTACAATATACAATAAGAGTAAGCAATGTAATTGTATCTTATCTTTGTGTCAAGAAATGCAGTGGCGATCTGTAAGACTTCTCGCGAGAAAAGAATAGTTTTCTAAAAGTCAAGCTCCAAGAAACTTTGTACATGTATTCTTGCTCGTGCATTCGTATACACAGTGAAAAATTCCTGGCGGTCGCCTCTACGTTTCATGCCAAAAAGTACTTTGGCATTCTTTAAGATTTTTCACAATAGAAAAAGATATAAGTCTCCATTTTTCAACGCTTGTGAAAAGATTCCGTTTAGCTCGAGATCCTCGCGTGCGCTTAAATGTATGCTTGAAAATTCGTGATCGCCTTCCTATTTTATGCAAAAATATTTTTTAAAGAATTTTACTTTGAATTTATCAAAAAAACAAAAATATCTTTACATAAAATATTGAAAAGAAATAATAGAAAGAATATATGCATTGACAAACAATTATGAAATTTTCCAATATATTCTAAATTTTTCATCATGTTTGTTAGAAGTTTAATCGCGCTACGAGATATATCTCCCGTGGTTTATTTACTTTTATGAGGCCGCAACTATCGGAATGTAAGATACGATTAGCAGTGTATGTATATTGATCGCGCTAAGTACTTAGAGATAGTCATCTTATCGCTAATCTTAGCGTTAATGCGTTAACGCGGACCGTAAAGAGCATTTCGTGTCGCATACATTTTGTTGAATATTAACAACGGAATTAATAATTTTTGCAATTTATAATATTCGCGTTATACGAAGAAAATTATTACAAAAAATTATTTAAGAACCGCTATTACAGAAAAAGTTAGACAGTACGTCTAAACTAAACTTTACGTAGTTAGTAACTTCGTTTATATGGTTCATACGTCTACACTAATTAAAAGCAAACCTAGCAATGTGTGTATATATGTTTGATTTAAAAAAATATCATAGAAAATTAAAAAACATATTTTGAATATGCAGTTGCGTAATACTGTGATTATGAAGAATTTGGAAGTGAGTTGTCTTGAAGAGAATATACACAAGTCGATCTATTGTAGATTTGAAAGCAAAGTTAACCAGAAGTTGTCAATAAGCTCGGCTAAAAAAAAAATAGTTAATGACGTGACAATTGGGATTGAAATTTGTTTCAATTTATCATATCGGGTATAAAATAGATGGATAATTTTAAACTTGGAGAGCATATTCTCTTATGGAAAATTAATAATACACAATTTTCTTCATAATACTCTAATTACCGCTACGCAATATATTGTTACTGAGAGAGGGATCACAAAACATTTTAATTAGTTAATTGTTTAACGACATTGGGACGAGAGTTGCGGCATAATAATTGATTCAAGGAGCAATCAACGCATGAAGTAGGAAATATTTACCCCTTAATAACTTAAGCGATCACTTGGAAATTTAACGGCACGAGTCTAAAACTTTGTACTTACTTAACGAAAATTAATGTGCCGACGCGAGCCAACGAATGACATCAGAGACGCTGAAAGATATAAATTGTTGCGACGTTTGTGTATATCTCCTTAAATGACACGAAAATATTCTAGAAATGGTCCGTTCAATTTTCAATATGTCGTTTTTCACACCGTAAAATATATATATATATATATATATATAAAATAAATATATATAATTTTATAGAATGCTTTTATTTGTTTTTATACGGTAAACTGGAAACTGAAACTCACAGATTGGATTTTGCAGAATATGTTTAATAAGACCTGACAATTTAATCGATCTATAATTAAATTCCGGCTTCTCTCTTCTCGATCCTAACTTAGCTACGTAATTTACCCTTTGAATGTTTGAATTCGGCTGCCAAGATGGCTGCAGATCTTCGGCGCAGCATGGAAGCTGACGTAGTTTGTCTCGGTCGCTTGTACAGTGAAGATTTATGGAGAGTCATGGCGCAGGTGGCAGCTTAGCATATCAAATCCGTAGTGATGTAGGTCAGATGTGTTTAAAATGTACTAATGAAATATCTTTATCGGATGATCTATAAGAGAAAGAAATCATCTATAGTGCAATTCATACAGTGCGATGAATGGCTTCAATGCAGATCGCGATAATTAAAGCGCACTTGCATACTTGATGGTGACCTATATAGTGCATCAGCACAGATTATCTCATGTGATTTAAAAATATGTGCTTTTAAAATATTGTATTTAAACACGAATATATATATATATATAATCAAATAACTTATTAATATTTATTATGCAACAGGGTTATGTTATGAAACGTAATCAATTAATTATTATGTTATTTATATTCAATTTATTTATTATCAATTAATTATTATACAATAGTTTGTTCCATAGGTTTTCGAATAACCGTCAATATCGGAAAAAACATTTTTCGGTACATTTGAAATTGGTTATAAACTAGTTTATTTCAAAACCTATGGAGCGAACTACAATCATTTTGATCTCATTTGAAAGATAAT